CAGCAGCCAGGAAATTAAAAGACGTCTTGTGATGGTCAAGTCTGCGGTTAGAGACCTCTCTAAAGTACTGAAGAGCAATGATGTCAGTCTGAAGACTCCGGTGCTCCTGATACATGCTATATTGTGTAAGGAAGTTCTGATCGCTCAATGGTAAGAAGTTGTGCTGCCAAAGCAAAGGCATATGGTTTGAATCCACCAGCTGCTCCACAGGATAAAGATGGGCAATATCCTCTTGTGTGATTTATAGCCTCTGAAAACCCACTAGAGGGTCAGCCATGGATTTGTTCCAACTTGACAGTGCACAGCAGCATGACATTCTTACCTAGATAAGTTGATTGCTATTAAAATTTTGGAGTTTTATTTCTTCACTGTAAATGTCTTTGAACCATAAATCTCTCCTAAAATTCACAGTAATGTACATTATTTTTTTTTCTTGTGTCTTTTGTGTGTATTTAATTCTTTACATATTTCCTTGGAAGAAGGTCCACTGGACTGTCTTTGCTTTAATATTTGAAAGTATGTTTACAGCACTCGTTTCTATGTGAGAACTAATAAAGTAAGTTTTAATTAGTTTTTTTTAGAAGAACTCTGTAAAGTCAATAGAAATGGTTTGGGAACACTGTATCTGAACTCTGCTCTCACCAAAAGAGGAAACTCTTCCTATACTCTGCTAACTCCAATGTGGTATCAACCACATTCCCAATTCAGAACCACATCCAGTAAGCTCAGGCTTGGCTTCCATGCTCCTTCACCTGCTTCTTCTAATTCCAGCACAATACACTACAAACTCACCAAAAATGCCTTCCTATCCTACCCTATGATAATCAGTCCAAATTAGTCAGTGGACTGTTGTTAACCCCATTTTGGAGCAGAGTGAACTGATCTGCAAAGCAAAGATTTTTTTGGTTTTGTGTAAACTGATTTCAGGTGGGTGGCTGAATTAAACAAGAAATGAAAACTAAAGCATAGGGGGAAATTACTTATTTGTAAGACGTGGAAATAATAAGTCCTTAACTTGACTTTTTCATAGCACTTGGAAAATTTCTTTACAGAGTAAATTGCTTTATTTCACTTTAATTCTTTGAGTAGAATGATTATTACTTTCTTGTCCATGGGGTCTCTGAAAGCTCGTATTAACCATTTCATATCCACAACTAAGGCAATACTTTGTCAGTAGAATTATGTTCTCTCATTTCTGGTAGGGAGCTCTGGTGACTTAGCTTATGGACGCTGCATTGTTAAAGGCAGTGACTCTGGTTGTTGAAATCCACTAACAAGTCCTTGGGAAAAGGATGGCCAGTCTCCTCTATATAATTATAAATAATAATAATAATTTAAAAAACCCATTGGAGGGTAAGCTGTGAGTTAGTTACGACTTAAGGGCAATTGTTTATGAGTTATCAGTTCTGGTAAATTAACTGTAGTTCAGGTACCATGTGTTAGACTTTATTATGGAAATCTGTACTGACTATTTTTCTCATTATGGTGCTGTTATTATTTCTTAAGCAACATCTTGTACATGAAATCTTGAGAACCAATTTTAACTATTCTCCCTGCCTATATATGAGACTCTGGAAACTTTGGGAGATGGAGAAACAGTAAGGCTGTGGGTACAAAATAATAGTAAAAAGCCCTGAATTTTGTATTTTGGGAATGGTTTTCAGAGAAAAGAATTTGTAACAGTTCTTGAAAACATAAACCTGAACTTCTGGTAAATAAACATACTAAGAGAAAAATGTGTCATAATTACACTGCTTTGTCGATTATCCATTAACCCAAGTGGTGTAGTGCATGCTCAGCTTCTGCCCACAATGTTGGTGGTTTGAACCTGCTTACTGCCCTTTGGGAGAACAGTGTGGCAGTCTGCTTCCATAGACAGACAACTTCGGGACGGGAATCCCATGGAGGACAGTTCTCCTCGGTCTGGTCTGGACTGGTCTGTTGAGCAGCTCTGTCAAAATCAACTTGCTGCCATTGGGGTTAAGTTCTAGTTTGCCAATTATGAAAAATAAAACAGTATTTTGTTATGTCTTCTTCTTATGTTAAACAAAGATTTTAATAATCATGTTTCTAGAAATACATTAGATTTGAGTATTTTGTAATCTGTGACTGACAGTTTGACTGCAACAACTAACCTAAAGGTTGACAGTTTGGTTCCACACGGTAACATTGTGGAATAAAGACCTAGTGTTCAGCCTCTGTAACGATGATAGGGAAAAAAATCCCTGTGCAGCATTTCTGTCCTTGTAATATATGGGTCTTTATAAGTGAAATCAATTTAGTGGCAGTAGGGGTTTTTTGTGTGTTTTGGTATTTTATTATACTGTCTGCTGATAGTCAAATTATTCTGTATTAATATATATTATATGTTGTTGTTATGTGTTCAGTCGATTGCGACTCATAGCACCCCTGTCTGTTTACAACACCTCTGAACCTTGCTGTATCCTGAGCCAACCTTATTGTCTCTGACACATCTACCCCCACTTCCCCAGTCACTGAGTCAGTCTATCTCACAGAGGATCTTTTCTCTTTTGCTGTCCCTCCACTCTCCCAAACATGATGTGCCTCTCCAAGGACTGGTCCCTCCTTGGAAAATGCCCAAAGTATGTCAAATGAAGCTTCAGAATCCTTAGCTTCAAGGAGTAGCCCGGCTTCACCCTCTCCAGAATGAACCTTTTTGTTCTAGCAGTTCATGATTCAATACTCTTCTCCAGCACCACAGCTCAAAGGCATCAAGTCTCCAGTTTATGAATATAAATAATATTAAACTATATATGATGTAGTGCATTAATATATAATACACCAGTATATTTATTGTTATGTGTGTGAGAACATTTGAGTTGCAGTTTAGATACTTTGCTACATGATGATACTGTAAAATATCTCTTCCCTAGTGGATTCCATAGAATTTCCAAGGCTGTGGCCCCTAAGAAGCAGACCTTTTCCCCCAGGAGCCTCTGAATGGGTTCAACTGCCAACCTTTTGGTTAGCAGTTTAGAGTTTCCTATTTGTGACACCCAGACTCTGTCAGTTGTTATTGTGAAGATTTGTGATGTGAATATCTTTTATGGACATCCTAGTTTGCCTTGAATAGAGGACTTTTCATTTTAAACTGGGACCGTCCTGGACAAACCAAGACAAGTTGGTCTCTGTTAAGCTTAGATGGGTAGCATCTGTCTTTACTTTTTAGAGCTTGGTTGCATAATGCATAGCATGTTCCACTGGTATCTATCTATAAGGTTCATAATTCAAATCCAACAGCTGCTATAAAGGGAAAAAAGTTACAGCCCCAGAAACCAGTGGAGGGTTGTCATGAGTCCCAATCTGCTTGACAGTAGTGGATTATATTACTTGTTAAATTCAGATTCTTTCAAAAATCCTTTTTAATACTTGAGTTTTAAAAATAATATCAAAATACAAAATATGTAAATATTTATAATAAAAAATCATGAGCACTTCATCGATGTAGATTTAAAAGGACATTGTTTTGCTTAAAATAGAACACTTGTTTGTAAATGATAGCATCAAAACCCACTGCCAACAGAGCAAGTTTGACTCATAGCAACTCTCCCTCAGGTTTTCAGGACTATAAATCTTTCCCAGTGGGGACTTCTCATAATTTACTTCCTGTCCTGAGGAATATGCTAGTGGATTAGAACTACTGACCTTCTAGTTAATAGCTCTCCATGTTACATACTAGGTGACCAGAGTTCCCAGTATGTAAAAAAACATAACTTTATTTGTTAGGCTTTAAATGTGCCTGTGAAAATCCAGGAATGGCCGTTAGGGTGTGGACTGCTTTAATATTATTGTAGCTAATAATTTTCAATTGGGTGTAATTTTAATTTTTTAAATAAGTACACTGGAAAATTATGCGATGCTGCCAGCATTGGATATGATCCTGGGCCGCCAGTCTGCACACTTGTTTGCACTTGGTCCAGTAATGGCAGAACCTTTCATCTCTTTTCTTGTTTACTATAACTCCTGCATTATCTTCAGAGTAAAGGAACACCCCGTCTTTTCTCCAGTGTGACTTTTGTTGTATTACCACCTTCTTTCTGAGCTCTAGTTTCCCTTTCTTGACAGTGTCACCCTTATCCGCAGCGGGAAGTCCGGTCAGCTATTCCTTGCACCCCTACACAGTGATGATACATAGATTTTTGGCTCCTGTCTTAACAGCACAGTTGATCACTGCTGCTGGAAGTCCTTGGGAAATCTGGTATTTTGCACCAGAGGACCTACCATGTCCTCGGTCGACATCTTGGGTGCTGAAAAAGATGGACTGTTTTATTTTGGCAGATAACTTGGATGCTGCCTGTTTGCTTGCACTATGGCAAGTGGCTTCATATAATTGGGTTTTCTTTAGCAATCTGAGGTAGAATATCCAGGAGTTAAGGAAACCGAAGCTTAAGAAATTGAATGATTTCTGAAGGCCCCAAAGCTTATAGATAGTTAAAGTAGATTTAGTTTCTAGAGTATAGATTCTCTATAAGATACTGTAACTGGATTCTAATAACTGTAGTAAGACCTAGAAGATCATCCTGCTTGACCTTTTAGATATACAAACCACTGTTAAAATACTGGCTAAAAATCTTTTTCTGAGGAGCTCTCTTTCAAAAAATTTCATGAAAAGATTTTAATCCATAGCTGTAGGGGGAAAATGGAAGGATACTAATTTTTAAAACCACTCAGTGGTACTATCGATGAGATAATGAATCCTGTGTATAGTTGGAGAATTCATCAACCCAGTTGTCTAGCATTACGCTGTTTATCTAAACTCTTTTCATGAGCAATGTAGGAATCATAGGATAAAGTTAAGTAACTTGATGTGTATAGGCATTGTTATGGTTTTTAAGATCTTAATGATAGTAAAGGCATTTTTCGTTTGATTTTGTTTGCTTCATATTCTGTTCTAATATTTGAAACAATATGCTTTAGTGTTCCACAGTGGTTTTGCAGTATTATTTTGTGTAACTTTTAACTAAATCTGTATCCGTTAGGTCAAAAGAACATATTCTCACGGTACTTATAGAGCTGGCCCAATGCGACAGATCAGCTTGGTGGGAGCAGTTGATGAAGAAGTAGGAGATTACTTCCCTGAGTTTCTTGACATGTTGGAAGATTCACCATTTTTAAAAGTAAGGAATAAAAAGTATTCGTGATCTAAATTGTAAATGTTATGCTCATGCTTGCTACAGGTGATAACAAATAAAATTGTTTCAGGATCTAAAAATGTTTTGTTTCACTTGAAACAAAGAAAAGAAGAATAGAAGAGAGATGAGAACTGAGTGCTTATATCCTCTCAGGTGATAATTGTAATGGGAGATGACCAGGAGATGATACTGTTGCTGTTACTTTAAGTAATAGCATCCATCTGTTTATCATCTTTATATTCACTGAGTACCAAAGGAGTTAAGGTGTGTGGGAAGAAAAGAAAATTGGCCTGGAAAATTGAATCCGTATGTCACTCATGGCTATGACCTTGTAGCGTTGTGCAAGCTATTTAGTTTAAACTTCCTTGGTTTTAGTTTCTTCATCCAAAATATAGGGAGCTCTGACTGGTGATTTAAATCCACCAGTTACTTCCAGGGTGAATTTACTGCCTCAGAAAACTTGCAGAAGGGTCATGTATGGGTCGATTCCAACTCCATGGCCCCTAACCACAGCTACATCCAAAAAATAAGGTCCATAGACTAAGTAGTTCTAAGGCCCCCTGTGAAATGTAAGAGTCCTTGTTTAATGGTGTGTGTGGTGGAGGGAGGTTTGAGTGGGGGGTTTGGTTGGTTGATTTTTGGGTTTGTTGTTGTTGTTTTGGTTTGGTTTGTTTTAACTTGGGGAGATTTGGTGCAACAGTCTCTGCCTTCCAGAAGAAAATGTTTCTTTTTGTGGACTGTGGTATTATCCTCATTGAGAGAGAAATCTCTAAGCTTTGTATGTAGGTGGTTTAATCAGCAATACAAAACAATTTTAAAAGTCTAAATGTGAGATTATGTTTTACTGTTGGGATTGTGTACTACTGTTAACCAGGCTTGGGACTGCTGTTTACTGAATCTGAACTTTTAACTGTGTGATATCCTTTGCCTTCCTCATTCCTAATCTGTTTCCCTAATAAACTCCCTAACTGGGAATAAGAAGAGAAAAAAAAAAGTCTAAGCCCATGGTCATTGATCCTGTTGGGCAGGGTAGATCTGCCTCCCAGGATTCCCAAGGTCATAAATCATTATAGAAACAGATTATCTCATATTTATCCTTCTGAGCTACTGCAGGTTTAACAGCCAATCTTTCACTTCTCAGCCTAACTCTAAACCTACTTTACCACTTGTCCTTCAGTAATATTAAAGTCAATGTTAAAAAGAAAATGGCCAGTGTAAATAAGTACAGAAATTTAGAAATTTGTAGTCCAAATAGTAATATGTAACAGGATCAGTTTGTCTCTACTGTTGGCTTGATTATTCAACCTGTGTGTTTAAGTGTACCTTTTTCCTTTATTTTTACCTTATTTCACTCTCCTTTAATTCTTCAAAGCCTTTTTTTTCTTTTCTACTTCTCCCAGGTAGTCTTGTTACAGAATTTGCTTTGAATTTATTATTGAATACTGTTTATAAAAACAAAACCCCATTATTGATTATTTAGTTGTTCTTCAGTTTTTCACTTTAAAAGCAAATGAAATAAGTGTATTCTTTCTAAAGAAATTAAATTTGATGAAAATGCTCCTGTTTTTAAAGAGGATATATATTATATATGGAGCTATAATATATAGTATATATTAATGTCATTTTTATTGTTCCATAACAGTGGTTTTCAGACTTTTTATTTTCATTTAAAATTTTTTTTATCTATGATTTGTTTGGGCCAATAATAGCAGAAGTAAATTTCTTCAAAAATAACTTTCACTCTTCAAAAGTCAAATAAAATTTCAATTTTTATATGGATTATTTCTAGTTTGGGTATCACTAATCAAAGGGGTAATCTGTTTTGAAAATGCATACTTAATTTCTTTTTAAAGGTTCTCACAGAGAATACTTACTTATTCTGGCAACTTAATAAGACTATATATTTGGTAGAAAGAACAACAACAATTAATAAATATTGTGAAGCATATACCTAGCAGAATGGGTGTTGGAGCCCATTCAAGCATAACTATTTTCTGAGTGTGCTTGAAATAGAATTACATGAGGGAAAATGGATATAAAGCTGTATCTTTATGTAGTCATATCTCAAGTATGTAATAAAAGGTCTATCTAAAAGCGTGTTTGTGAGATGTTAATAGAAAATAATTGATGTCTAATTGTTTGTAGTGTACACTGCCATGGGGAACCCTGTCAAGCCTAAAATTAGAGAGTCGAAAAGACAGTGATGATGGTCCCATCATGTGGGTACGTCCTGGAGAACAAATGATCCCTGTGGCTGATATGCCAAAGTCTCCTTTCAAAAGGAAAAGGTATATTGAATATAAATTTTTATTGTTGGGGTGTGTATGTATATATATGTGCAAAATTAAAGAAGGAAGATTTAGAACATTAATATACATTTTTAAATAGACTTGTGGATATAAATTCTTTATTAAATATCAAATACAAGACAAAATATAGACAAATAGCAATGCATTATAATGAAAATGAAAACTACTTACAGTTGAAACAAATTATAAATTATTTATGAATACATTTCCCTAATGTTTGGTATCTGCATAGACAAACCCCTATTATAAACATTTGACTTAACCTACAGTTGTTGTGTACCATTGAGTTAGAATTGACTTATGGTTGACCCTCTAGTGAGTTTTCATAGGCTGTAAATCACATGAGAGGAAATTGCCCATCTTTCTCTTGTAGAGCAGTTGGTGGATTTAAAACACCTGCCTTTGGGTTGGCAGTGCATTTTGCTCACTTTGAAACGAGCTTCTTTGTTATTGTTAGATGCCATCCAGCAGTTACTTTTATTTGTTGTATGTGCATTTTTTAAATAATTCAGAAAGTTTTGAGCCTTATACTAAAATTCGGCAACAATTCATGGCTGTTAAGTTGGAACTGACTTACAGCTTACCCTCCATTGTGTTTTCAGAGACTGTAAATCGCATAGGAGGAGGATATTGCCTATCTTTCTCTTGTGAAACAGTTGGTGGATTTGAAACACCAGCCTTTGGGTTGGCAACACAAGTCTCTATCCACTAGGCTATCAGAGCTCCCTTTTCTTGCTTTAATGTATAGCAACATAAGAACTGTATGTACCTGGTTCAGTTTACCTTAAAATTCTTAAAGGCCTAGCTAGGAAGGGATCCATTCATAAATGGGGGATTACTTGCATTCAGGAAACTGCATTTATGGAAGATATAATGATTAGTCTTACTGTGTTTTCCACTGGATAAAAATAATAATCCTTTCATCTCAGTCTTTTCTCTTTTTATCATGATGCTCCTTACTGGTCCAGTTGTGAGGATTTTTGTTTTTTTCTGTGGTGAGGTGTAATCCATACCAAAGGCTGTAGACTTTGTTCTTCTTCAATAAGTATGTCAAGTCCTTTTCACTTTTAGCATGCAGGGTGTGTCATCTGCACATTGGAGGTTATTAACATGGCTTCCTCCAGTCCTTATAATAAAACATTCTTCTTCATATAGTCCAACTTCGCAGATTATTTGCTTAGTATACAAATTGAATAAATATAAGGAAAGATTACAACCCTGGGGTACACCTTTCCTGAGTTTAAACCATACAGTATCCCCTTATTCTAGTCAAACAACGGCTTCTTAGTCTATGTAAAATTTCCACATAAGCACAATTAATTGTTCTGGAATATCTGTTCTTTGCAGTGATACTCATAATTTATTATGATCTATTTAATATAATAATAACAAATTATTAATTTAATATTTTCTTTGCATAACCAGTAAAACAGAAATATGTTTTCATCACTTCTTTCCGCTATGATCCATCTGATGTTAGATTTTATAGTCCTCATTCTGTGTTCTCTTCTGTATAGTTTGAATTTCTGAGTACTGTTTAAATTTCTAAATCTAATTTGAAATCCTCATTGATGTATTTATTGCTGCAACTATTTCTGAATTACGTTCAACAAAAACTCACACATGTTTTGCTGATATTTGATGATTTCTAAATTTTCTTGGGCACAAATATGAATGTCTTTTCAATTGATTAGCCTCCAAGTTCCTGTCTTACAAATTTCTTGGCACACATGAATAAGTGCTTCCAGCATTCCATTCATTTTTCTAAACGTTTCAGTTCTAATTGCATCAGTTCCTGGAGTCTTGGTTTTGGCCAGTGCCTTCTGTGAAGCAGCTTGGGCTTCTGCCTTGACTAACATTGATTCTTGATTGTGTGCTACCTCTTGAAATAGTTGAATGCTGTCCAGTTCTTTGTGGTTCATTTTCCCCTTCATGCTTCCTGCATTATTCGGTATTTTGCCCAAAGAATTTGTTGATGCTATAATTCAAGGCTTGAATTTTTTTTCAGATGTTTTAGTTTGCTGTGCATATTTTAGCCTTTTTGTTTTCTAAATCTGAGTCTTTGCACATTTCCTTATAATAGTTTGTCTTCTCAAGCTGCCCTTTGAAATCTTCAGTTTAACACTTTCAGTCATTTCTTCAGTTTACTGTAGTTACTGTCCATTCCAAAGCAAGTTTCAAAGTCTGTGCTAACTTCCCCCCCCCTTGTTTCTTTTCTATCTTTTGCTTCATTGATGCTGTCTTTAATGTCATCCCACAACTTGTGTGGTCTTCTGTCATGAGGAATCAGTGCATCAGATTTGTCTTTGAGATAATCTCTAAACTCAGGTGATATATACTCAAGATTGAACTTTAGTTTTTAGAGGTGTTTTCACTTCCTTTAGCCTAATCTTTAAGTAACTGTAATTGATGATCTGTCCCATGCTTTTACCCTTATCTTGCTCTGACTGATGATACTAAGCTTCTCTATAGTCACTGTCTCCATAGATGTAGTCTGTTTGGTTTCTATGCATCTGGTGACATACATGTATGTAATGGTGGTAGTGGTGGTGGTGTGTACTCAGTATGACTCATAGTAACCCTCTGAACTCTGTCCTGTCCTGTCTCATCCTGATCTTCGGACATACTTGAGCCTTTGCTGCAGTTACTGTATTGAGTCCATCTCCTTGAGGGTTTTCCTCTCTTTTGCTGACCTTCCACCTTATATTGTTGCATGTCAGCGAGTGAGAGCCAACTTCCAGTGGGTTTTCAGAGGCAGTAAATCACATGGAAGAGATTGTTCATTCTTTTCCACCATATAAAGTCATTGTTTATTTTGTTGGAAAAGGTATTTCTGGTGAATTGCGTTGTCAGTCTTGCATAATTCTGCTGAGATGTTTGGCAGTATTTCTGTTGTTGTGTAACATCGAGTTGGAACTGACCCATACCTGACCCTCTGGCGGGTTTTCAGAGGCAATTAGTTGGACAGGAGGAGATTTATGATCCTCACCACCAGCTTTTACATTCTAACTACAAGTGATTATCAGATACGTCTTGATTGCCTTCTTGATCACTTTCAGAAACAAACTCACTGCCGTCAAGTCAATTCTTCCTCATGGTAGCCTTCCGTCAGGTTTCCAAGGCAGTATCAGTAGGAGAAGACTGCTTAATCTTTGTCCTTCAGGGTTGGTGGATTCAAACTTCCAGGCTTTGGGTTAGCACTTCACACACTGCACTACCAGGGCTCCTTGATGGAGTACTATGTGAATTCTCTTCATTCTAGCATAGTAGGTTATATGATTTCCAATTCGGTAAATCCAGTCTCAGTCCATATCAGCAAACAAAGTACCTAAAACCTTTTCTTCATCCATGTCATTAAGTTTGACTCTACTGTGGAGAGGCAGAACTCCTTCCAAACTGATCAGCTCATCTTTCAAGCACTCTGTCTGACAATAGTTATCTATTCACAAGGTTTTCACTGGCAAATCCTTTAAAATTAGATTGCCACATTCTTCTTCCATCTATCTGAGTCTGGAAGTTCTGTTGAAACATGCTGTCCATCAGTTAATCTGCTGTTATTTAACATAGTTTACAGCGTCACACTAGCAAGCAAGCCATCACAGTATGACAGACTGACAGATAAGTGGTGGACTGCCTAGGTAGTATCTAGAATAGAGTGGATATTTTATAAATAATGTGTGTGTGTGTGTGAGAGAGAGAGAGAGAAAGAGAAATTTGTATTTAGTATTAGTCAGGTGGACTCAGTTTAGATGACCCCAATTTTGTTGGCAACCTCCAAAGCATCAGTCAGGAGCAAGTTGAACATAGGCCTTCTTCTGTCCATCAGGCCTAATCAAAGTGTTGACCTTAGCCACACCAATGTCATAGAGCTTCTTTACAGCTTGTTTAATTTGGTGCTTGTTGGCCTTGACATCCACAATGAACACAAGTGTGTTGTTATGTTCTGTCTTCTTCATGGCTGACTCAGTTGTCAGGGGAAATTGGATGATGGCATAGTGGTCAAGCTTGTTTCTCCTGGGGGCACTCTTCTGAGGGTATTTGGGCTGCCTTCGGAGTCTCAGCATCGTGAGCTGCTGGAAGGTGGGTGACAAGCAGATCATCATCTTTTTTTGGGGGGTGGATGCCTTTCAGGACTGCCTTCTTGGCCTTTAATGCCTTTGCTTTGGCTTCAGTTTTGGGAGGGGCAGGGGCTTCTTTTTTTGCTTTCAGCACCATCTTCGTAGAAAGGTATAAATAATGATTTTTAAAAGTTGCGACAGATGAGACCCAAATCACAGATAGAGGGTAACAAAGTAAGTCATACCATCTGTGATTTACACAGGTTTGTATTTCCTTAAACTGCCATCTTGTGAGGCATGTCCTGGAAGAACTGGACAGTATGTGTTTTTGTTTGTATTTGATTATTTTTAAAATAGAACTTGATTTGGAAGTAGGTGATTTAAAATTTCCCCTTGTCTGAATTGTTGTTGTGTACTGTCGAGTCATAACTGATCCCTCAGTAGGTTTTCAGAGGCAGTTAAATGCACAGGAGGAGACTGCCCATCGTTCTCCTTTGGAGTAGCTGGTGGCCTTGACCGTGGAAAACTTTGTGATGGATTTAGACTTGAATACATAATCTACTTTGTTTTAAACAGAACTACCAATGAAATAAAAAATCTGCAGTACCTACCTCGAACCAGTGAGCCCCGTGAGATGCTCTTTGAAGACAGGACAAGAGCCCATGCAGACCATATAGGACAAGGTTTTGAACGACAGACCACAGCTGCTGTTGGAGTGCTAAAGGCTGTTCACTGTGGAGAGTGGTATATATAAGCTCCTTTTTGTTTTTATGAACTTATTTTAATGAAAAATTTTATTGGTTTCTAAAATTTTTCTTAGAAAGTTTCTCAGTAGTTTCAGTAATACAAAGTTTTTCTGTATAATTGCCTATCATGGTTGTATAATTATGAAAGATCTTAAATTGTTGGAATCGAGTTTTAGTCATTTGGTTTTTGACTGAGATAATATTTTCAAAATGGTCCACTGCCATAGAACTGATTTCAGCTAATAGTTATCCTCCATTGGCTTTCTAAGGCTGTAAATCTTTACCAGAGGAGAAGTACCAGCTCAAGCTTTTAAAAACTGCCTGTTGTTGTTAATGTGCCATCAAGTCACCTATGACTCATAACAACCCTCTGTACAATAGCCTTACACTCTGCTCTATCCTGTACCATTCTTACTGTCTCTGACACACCTAGCCCTATTACCCCAGTCATTCAATCCATCTCATCGATGGTTTTCCTCTCTTGCACCGTCCCGCCACCCTCCCAAGCATGACGTCCCTCTCCAAGGACTAGTCTCACCTTGCATCATGCCCAAAGTATGTCAGACAAAGCTTCAGACTCCTTGCCTCTTTCCCTCTCTGGGATGACTCTGTTTATTCTCCTAGCAGTCCATGGTATATGCAGTACTCTTCTTCATCCCTAGTCATTGTCCAGCTTTCTGATGCATAGCCTAGTAGATTGTAATTACCAACCTTTTGGTTAGTTCTTTCCAGAATGATTTATAAATTACCCAGTATCAGAAATGTGAAAGCTTAATGTAGGCAGAACAGTTTTGGCAGAAAAAAGTTGGACAACTGACTTGCCAGTTCAAGTTTACTATAAAGCTCAGCTAATTAAAATAATGGGGTCTTGGTGTAAAGATAGACTTTAAAAGGTATGAAAAAATGATGGGTAGTATGAAACCCATCATTGCTTTTGAGCAAAGATGCCAAGATAGTTTAATGGGAAAAGAAGTCTTATTGAGAATTGCTGGCAAAACTGAGTATCCATCTATAAGCAAAGAAAAAGAAGGATTGACTTGTATTATACAAAAATAAAATTAAAATTTGTAATGGAACGAAATAGATTCATTACAACTATAAATTTTATAGAAGAAAACATGGAGGAGTTTTGTATTAGGTAACAATTTCAAGAACCATAAAAATCTGGTAAATTGGACTGTCATATGAAAACTACTTTTTGAATGATAATTAAGATAATGAAAAGACAGACTACAGGCTGGGAGGAAATACTTTTTAATGGTATATGTATCTTATATGGCTTGTATCTTAATACGGGGGGGGGGAAGGAATCTTAACATTTCAAGAATAAGAAAACAAAATACAGTTGAAGAGGCAAAAGATTTGAATGGATATTTTGTAGGAGAAACAAATTACCAGAAACCATATTAAAAGATAAGTATAGGTGAGCTCTGGTGGCTAGTGGCAGGGAGCTGCACTGCAATCCCAGAGGTGTGTGGTTCAAATCCAGCAGATGCTCTGCTGGAGAAGGAGGGACAAAATCTCCTGTACCGGAAGGATCTGATTTGATGGTACATACAAGAAAATGATAAAAATTTTTTTTTAAAAGATGGTATAATTGCATCATAACGGAAATGCAAATTAAAAACACAATGAGCTCATCAGTGTTACATACTGTGAAATGCCTTTAAGAAGAAAGGAAAAAAACCCACCAATTGAGGATATGGAGCAATCAGAAACTTGATATAGTACTGTGAGAACTGTGGAAGAAAATATTACACATTTTTATAAAACTAAACATGTAGTAGTTGTTGTCAGGGCAACTTATAATTCACATGGGAACCTTACTGTATCCTGCACCATCCTCACTAGCTCTGACATGCTCAAGCCCACTGTTGTAGTAACCATATCAGTGCAGCTTGATAAAGATCTTCCTTTTCTCCTCTGACCTTCCATCTTTCCCAGCCTGATGTCTTTTTTTCCAAGGACTGGTCTCTCTTGACAACATTCCCAAAGTATGTGAGCCTCAACTTTTACCATTCTTGCCTCTGAAGGAGCGCCCTGCTTGTTCTTCTTCCAAGAGACTTGTTTGTTCTTTTGGCAGTCAGTGGAGTAGTCGGTACTCTTCTACAGCACCATAATTCAAAAGCATCACCACTTCTTCTGTTATCCCTATTCATTGTCCACTTTTCTGAAGCATGGAAAGCAGATGAAAAACTCATGGCTTTTATCATTTGTACCTTGGTCTTCAAATGGATATCTTTATTCCTGAGCACTTTGGAAAGGCCATTGATAGTAGATTTGCCCAATGCAATACATCTGTTGATTTACCACTGTTAACCATAGATGTTGACTATGGATTCAAGTTAAATGAAATGGTTTGAAATATACCTACATCGTTGTAATTTTATAATCCTATTTCTAATCCTCACTTAAAAATTTCTTTTAGTCATTTTGTGTTTTCATACGCATATTGTTAAGTAGCATCCAGTCTGCTCTGAGTCATGGCAACCCTGTGTATGGTAGTTTGAACACTTGTACATTCTAGGGCCATTCTCACAATCTCTATTGTGCTTAGTCCATTGTTGACATGTCATTGTGTTAATCTGTCTTGTTGAGGGTCTTCCTATCCTCTGGCCTTCCACCATTCCCAACATGTCTTTTTTTTTTTTGCGTGGCAAAATTTTGATGACTTTTTAGATAAAACTGTTGTTTCCCCTCTAAACCTCCCTTATATCACAGTTGTGATATAGGTCTCACAAGTGATAATCCAGAGTCACAAAACAAAAATCTCTGTTCTTAATGTTTTCCTTGAGAATACCAATGATCTGAACACAATGCCTTACGGTGAGGAGGGCCGAATCTTAAAAGGAGCATTTGTTCTTTCATAATCTGCTGTAACTAACATCTTCCTGGCTGGAGGTTCCCAGTAACTTCTTAAGGTGTCATCTGAATGACATCTGAGCCCGAGGAGCTGGAGCCCTCCCTTGCTGCTGAGAGGCTGGCTCCTTAAGATGATTGCTGCTGGCTGGGCTCTAATTTTCGCCCCCAGAGCCATTTCTGAGGAGGTTTTCCCTCAGGTCACACTGGGAGGTGACTGACCGAGGGCTGCCAAAGTCCTCTGGAGCACCAGGCACATTTTGGTTGGATGAGGTGTCACTTTGACTAGTTCCCGAGCACACAGATCCCGAGAAGACGTACAGGGGCACCCACACTCTGTGGGGCTGGGCGTGGGTCGCAGCCCCAACTCACAGAGGCACTGGAGGCTGTGCTGGCCTGCACCCTGCACCACCATCCCTCCCCGAGATGAGTGCTAGGACGGCCGGGTGGCCTGGAATGTTGCTGCATGTGCTGTGCCCCCACGCACCCTCACGCTCTGCTCGCTGCCTCCCTAACAAGTCTTTTTTTAAGTATTATCCTCTCTTGACAACATCCCCAAACTATGTGGACAAACTCACAGTGCTTGCCTCTAGGAGCACACTGGCTGTACTACTTCAAGACCCATTTGTGTGTTCTTCATAGCACGTTCAGTACTTTTTGCCAGCACCACAAAGACATGCATTTTGGGGTCTTACTCATTGTTCAACTTTCACAAGCAATTGAAAATACTGTGACTTGTATGAGGCATGCTTAATCTTTAAAGCTGACATCTTTGCTCTTTAGCACTTTAAAGAGGTCACTGATAGCAGATTTGTCCAATATAGTAAGTTTTTATTTCTTGCCTGTTATTGTATGGGTATTGATTAAGGATTAAAGTAAAATATTTCATTTGACAGTGGGCATGTTTTGGTGTGGGGTAGTGTGTTTTAATTTATTTTGGGGATTTTTTTTACCTCCCAGATTTTGGTTTTTTTAAGGTAAATCTCTTATAGTCAAAATGTAGTCTATGTGATTTGCTTTGTTCATATTCAACTTTAGGAATCCTGGTAACACAGTGGTTAAAGTGATACACTCCTATCCACCAGCCACTCCTTAGAAGAGAGATGTGGCAGTCAGCTCTTACAAATATCTATAGCTTGGAATAATCTATCAGCAGCTCTGTATCCTATGGTGCTGTGTGTCATTGAGCCTAAAACTGACTTATAAAACTCTAACGGGGCAGAACGCGGAAATACGGACGTGCCTGCCGGCTTGCCTAGTACCTTGGTCGCTGCGGGGAGTGAGATGGAGCCGGGCGCGGAGGCTGTGGGCAGTCAGGATGGTCTCCGCGAGCGGAGAGGCTCCACTGGGACAGCGAGGCGGGAGCAGAGCCTTACTGCGGACCAAACGGAATCCCAAGGCATTCCTACTGGTTAGACCTTTGGCTTTTCATTCTGTTCAACCTGGTGTTGTTTTTCTTCGTGTATTTTATGCCTTGAGTGGTTTGGCTGTTTTCTAAATAAAGAAGTTGACATCTGGACTGGCTTCTGAAAATGACTACGTATTTCGTGAACAAAAGAAGACAGGATTGTGCTTTTGCTGCAGAAGAATTTCATCTTCCTACAACACCTTTTCATTCTATTATTCATTTCGTGACTTCTAAATGAGGAGCAGTTGCACCCTTTTACAAAATTAAAACTGGATCCTTTTGCTCATGTTTAAAAACTTCAAATTTTTAATAACTTTATAAAGGCTAAATAGAAAAATATTTATACTTAAAAGATTTCATATAGTCCCTAATCATGTCTTTCATTTAATTTTCTGAGGGTTGGTCAGAGTTTAATATGTTGTAAATAATGTGGGATAGTAAAATGAGTTATTTATATATTCAAACACAAATTACTCAAAAGCAGAGTTTGACAGAAGAAACAAAATGTTCTTAAATTGAATTTAGATGCTCTAAATGAGAAGGCTTTCTAGCAAATGCAGTTGCAATAGATATTGACTGTAAGTACCAGATACAAACTTAGAGGGAGTAGATAATATCCAATAATAAGAAAGCCGTATGTGTGCCCTGTATGTGTTACCTGGAACCTGCGTCTCTCCCTTAAACCACTGAGTTCCCTAAAATTGTGTTTGGAAAGTCTTGTTTTTTATGTTTTTTTTTTTAATTTGGTTGCATTAAAGATGCTTGTGACCAAAAAAAAAAGACAGTAAATGTCAGAGCAGCTGGTGGATTAAAACCGCAAGCCTTTGGGATTGCAGTGCAGCTTCACACTAGGCCCCCATCTCTCATCACTCTACCCCGTAGGCATGGTCTTCGTGGGAGTTGATTCAGGGGCACTGTGTTTGGAATTGATGTTCTATGAACTATCCTAATGAACTGCCTTTGTGCACTTAGAAATGTATATTCTGCTATTATTGAGTACTACCACCACTTATTGCCATTGAGTTGATTACAATGCACAGTGATCAAATGTTTTAGAAATATGCTCCATTCCCATTGTCTGTGTCTGACTTACCCATTTACACCACCCAGGGACTGCATTAATACAACTTATTGTCCTTAACTACTCATGGTCCTTAACACATGGTGGCTCTTTGTCAGAGTAGTACCATGTTTTTCGTAGGTTTCTAGTGGTTGTATTCTTACTGAAGCGATCACTGGGCCTTCTGTGGTGCCACTGGATGGATTCAGATAGCCAACTTTTTGGTTAGTAGCTATGTGCAAACTCATAAATGTCAATTTTTTATTGTTGTTAAGTGCCGTCAAGTCGTAGACGACTCATAGCAACCCTATGAATGAAAGACCTGAACACCTGTATAACTTTCGTTTCTCCAAGTTCGTAGAGCTTCCGGAAGCAATCTGCTGCTCCTGCTTCCAAGCTTGTTTTAATTGAGGAGCTCTACCAGACACTGTCCATCATGGGTTACCATTATTGTATTTGACACATCAGTGTCACAGAGTTCAGCTTCACAGCAAACACAAGTTACCTCTGTACAGCAAATGGACTTCTAAGTGCTATACCACTTAGAAGAATGTTTGACCAAAAACAATTAAAACCAGGTCTGAGGGCTACAGATTAAAATCACACCCACCTTTGACTTGGTAGCACAACTTTCTAGTCACTAAGCCAACAGAGCTCTCTCTATGTTGTTGTTGATATTAAGTGCCGTCAAGTTATAGACAACTCATACAGAGCCTATAAATGAAAGACTTGAACATTTGCATAACTTGTCATTGTTTCAAATGTCAATTTTATTGATAGCATGAATCAAGTCATCTGTATCCTTAGCCAGTTTTTGCCTATTTGTTAATGTCAAATTGAATCCCGGTTTTACCTGTTTCTTTTTTCAGTTTTGCTCATTTTTGTTCCCATTTTTTTTAACAAATTTTCGAGCAACAAAGCACATACTAAACAGTTCATTGCCTTTATTCCATTTAATTCAGTCTTGTCCCTTTTACTATTCAGACTTTTGTAAATATTGCCACTGTCAATTATATAACATTTTAATCACCTCAGAAAGGAGCCTTTTACCCTTTAGCTGTTACCACCACTTCCCCTAGCCTTAGGCAACCCTGAATCTACATTTTTGTCTTTCAAAATAATTTGCCTATTTTGGACATTTTATATAAATGTAATTAAACTTATGATTGGCATTTTATTCTTTTGTTTAGGTATCATCTAGTTTGGTAAATTTTTATTTCAATGTAACATGTTGCTTTTTCCCATTTGCCTCTTCTTTTTGTCTCTTTTATCTGTTTCCTTGCCACTATATATTTACTTGCTAGAACTGGATTTAACTTCCTTAGCTGGCTCCTCCAAACTTAGCATAAACAATATTACATTTCTCCATATAATGTAGAAGAAGAATCTTTCCATAGTCTACTGCCATTTGATCCCTTTCATCTTTCTGGCCCCTCATACAAGTAATTGTTGTCATCCATATTGTTTACCTATAAATACTGTAATTTATTGGGAAAAGTTTCTTTAAAACAGTTTATATTTTAAAGAGATTTAAAAATGTGAATAATTTTAAAAATATATTATTGGTGCTCTACATTCCTTTGAATAAATCCACAATCTCTCAGATTTCTTTGACTGAAAAATGTTATTTTGAAGTTTAAATGATATTTTTGATACAGAATACTAATTTGACTTTTTTAATTTAACACGTTAGAAATATTCCATTCTATTGTTACTTAACATTGCTTTTAATGACAAGTCTGAAAATTCTTACATGTCTACTCTTAGAAATACTATAATTATTTTTTAATGGTGTTTAAAAATGCTGTTATTTTCCTTAATATGGTGTTCTTTATGTTGCTTGAGATTTTAGTCTGTTATCTGTTTTTTAGCATTTTCTATAAAAAGGTATATTTACTCTTAATTAATTGAACAATTTGAGAATTTTTATACTTTTATTTAAAAATACTATTAATCATATCAAACATCAGCTCTTTATTATGTTAGTACTTTTTTAGAAAAGCTTCTTAATTATTAATAGCTGTTTGCAGGTGTTATATATCAGTGCATTTATATGTAGCTTTTATTAAAGATTCATATCAGTAAGAAAGTGTGTACTCCCTTTGCTTAACTCTAATATTTATGTAGTATTTTAAACCTTAGCATCTACTTTTGTACTCACTTTAAGCCAAAGTACTTAGTTTTGAAAATCTGCATAATTTACTAACTAAAGTCATTTTGTGAAATCTGGTTATAAATGGCTATAATAAAAGGTGAGCTGCTTTTGATTTTATATGTATGGTGTCATCACTTTAAGTAACCAATTAAAAGAATAATTTTATTTTTACTTTATTATTAAACTCTGTAATTTAAAATGTACATTAATAGCAGATTCCACTTTATCTCTTTTTCTCTTTTAGGCCTGATCAACCCCGAATAACCAAAGATGTAATTTGTTTTCACGCGGATGATTTCTTAGAAGTAGTTCAACGAATGCAATTAGATTTACATGAACCTCCACTATCCCAGGTATATTTTAAATAATTAAGTTTTGTCATTAGTTTAATTTCAATTGTGAATAAGACTTATTTGTTTTGTTCGTTATTTTCTTTTCCTAGTGTGTTCAATGGGTTGATGATGCAAAACTTAATCAGCTAAGAAGAGAAGGCATCCGCTATGCGAGGATTCAGCTGTATGATAATGACATCTATTTTATTCCGAGGAATGTTGTGCACCAGTTCAAAACAGTTTCAGCTGTATGTAGCCTAGCATGGCATGTTCGTCTTAAGTTATATCACTCCAAGGATGAAAATTCTCAGAATTCAGCCACTTGTGAAACTAACACATCGTCCAACCCTACATCCTCAGCTATTGAATCTCACACTGACATGGTTTGTGCTGTAAGCAAAACCTCAGAGTCTGTTTTTTCAGACAAACTTCATCCTAAATATGAATTGCAGAAAATGAAACATGAACCTGTTTTATCTGTAAGAATCAAGGAAGAACCCATGAATATTAATGTTTCTGAAAAGACTAGAACATCCAGTAATGTGGATGGCAAGAATGTTAAAGCAAAATTAGATCATGTTCAATTTACAGAATTTAAAACTGAGGTGGACTCTAAATTTGAAAATAGAAACAAAGATTTAAAGGAAGAATTATGTGCTACAAGTCATGTAAGTCTGATTGATACAAGGCAACAGAGTTTGGCACATTCAAGTCAAGATAGAAAAGATGATGACATTTTGTGCTAAGTTTGTACATACCACTTAATATTTTTTTTAAAAAAAGATTTAATAATGTAATAAAGATTCATGGATTCTAAAAGCAAGCCATGGACTTGCTCCCAAGTCTGTTACAAAATATAGTTTATGTAGCTTTGTAACATTCCTCAGTGCCTGTCCATAACTGTGAAGTATCCAAGCACTTAGGGCCAGATGCACTGTAAACATTGCAGGTTGAAACATACAGTCTTTAGCTCATTTGAGTTGTAAGTTTTAGTATTGAGCTGACATTAACATATATATATATAAAATATACATATATATATTTTGTAATATGAGCCAGAATTCTTTGACAATTTAAGGCTTTTCCATAGAGCTTATTTATACCATTTTTTTAAATGTGTCAGCACTGTAGTGTAAATAGCTTTTAAAAAAATCTTTTCAGTGTGATTTATTTTGAAAAGTGAACCACTTAAAGATTCATAACAAATACTTTTTCTGTTGGGTCTGTAAAAAGATACACCGATAAGTCAATTAAATCATTTATTATGTTTTTCTTTGCTGGTTTTTCCAGTTAGAATGGTAATAGAGTACAAATATAAGTGTTCAAATCTAATGATTATTTAAATTTTCCACACTGTGCAGATGTTTTTTAAAACTAAGATTCAATTAGTGAAAGAGTGTGTGTGTGAGAGAGAGACTATATATATATATATATGTGTATCACATTTTGCAAAATTTCTTAAGTTACTGAATAAGATGAATATGAAATTTCTTAACCTAGTCCCTGGAATACATTTTAAAATATATATTAAGCATTAAGAAAGCAATTTAGGTAATAGGAACAATTTTAGAAAGTTAAGAGAAGCAAGCTCTGTTAGCATATCTAACTCTTCTAATCAATGAAGTTACGTGGCTCTATAGATTATACAACCCTTATATAATTTTTCTCTAAAATGGAGTGATAAGAGGAGACATTTTCTTACTGTAAAGCACTTAAATTGCTCTTAATTACAGAGGAGTAAAAAAATCATAAAGTTTACTTGATGATTAAGTAAATCCTAATTTCTGAGTTGAATTTGGCAAATAGAAATTTTTTAAATAAAGTCAGTAACATAAATGCCATATGCAGAGCTAAAAGTGACAAGATACTGTGTGGTACCCTCATGTTTCTCAGGATCCCCATCTCTGCCCTAACAAGGCAAACAGCTTGGAGTGCTTCCTTTTGAAGTGAAGTTCCAGAACATAAAATGGAGAAACAGGAAACAGGATTGCTAGTGCCTGGCTCAAGAGGAGTGAAACACATCTCTAGGATAATGAACTTTGGCATTAATTCTGAATTCTTCCACTACTGTTATTAAAACCCAACATACGTCTTTAAAATATGCTTTACTGCACATTGCAGATCTAATTTGTTTGTCTTCAAGTTTATTCTTGGCTCCTACTTTGGTTAATGACGTTTATCTTGGTTTCTTTGTGCTGCCTTTTGGGCTAGTGTTGCTCTTTTTATTTCTTAAGCCTCATCTGTGGTACACATCAAATTATTCATCTTCCTGGTTAGGAAGAAGCCACTTAAGAAAATGAAAATGATTGCAAAAACAAAAATTATTGCAGCAATAATGACATAATAATTCTAGCCACTAGATAGTAAAGGAGGAGCTCTGGTGGCCCAGGATACGGAGTTGTGCTGCCAGCCCAAAGTCAGGTAGTTTGAATCCACAAGATGCTATATGGACAAAAGATGGGAAGGCGCCTCCTGTATAATCTACAGCATCTTAAAATTGCTGTCGGGCCAGCTATGAGTTGGTTCTAACTTGACAGCACATAATAAAGACAAAGATGCTTTGTAGGAAATCAGTATTATTTCAACATAGGAAATTTCTTGGCATAGGTAAGGTATAAATCTTGTTAAAATCACTGTCTTAACCATCCCATATTTTAAAATTTATATTTATTAGGTAACTTAAAATATGCACCTACTTGTTTGGAGACAAGTTTATCATGAGTTAATAATGAGAGAAGAGAATGTAGCTAAAATGTTTCTCCCTCCCCCCTTGTAATTGAAAGGTGACATATCAAGTTTATTTTTATTTTTCATTTTCCAGTAGGGTGTACACAAAATACTGCAATGTCTTACAGTTCCCCTCTAAAACATAAACTTTGAAGGAAAACATACGTAATCTAACCATACTTGTTGCTTTTGGGTATTATTCCATGTATAATCTACAGTTAAACTCCATAATTTGAAATTTTATATAATGAAGCAGACATTTCTGTTGAGGTGTTCTGTAAATTGTGGGTTCACATATCAAGATAAAGCCTTATTATCACCTGGAATCTTACTTTCCTTGTTGTATAGGTTATAACTTGAAAATTCTTCTCTATGTAATTTGAGAATTTATTATTACATACAAGTAAGTTCTGTTTTAATACCACATTAAATTAATAGGGTCCTAATTAGTACATTCCTGTTCTTTATCAGAACACAGCACATTTTGCTTTTATTTTCAACTTCTTGGGCCAGAACAATAAAGCATATAAGATACTGTTTCTGAAATCGCTACCTACTACCTAGAATAATAAACTGTGTAAATTATTAAACTCATATAGGCTTTGGAGAGGAAAAAACTAAGATACCTTAGGTGGTGTCTGCTACAGTGCTTGCTTTTTTGTTTGTGGTGGTTTTTGTTGTTGTTGTTGTTGTTTTTCAAGTTTGCCCCATACCCTTTTGCTATCTAAGTAATACCATACTCCATTCTCAGGTTAAATGGCTATTCAGTTAAATGGATCTTCAGTTGAAAACTCTATTAAAGCCATATTAATGATCTCCTTCAGTAAGGCTTTTGGCCTTAATATAAAGATTAGATTGATGTAGTTCAACACCGTGTGTGTGTGTGTGTGTGTGTGTGTGTGCGCGCGCGTGCGCGCACGCATCAGGCTTATATATGTTTCTCCGTGTAAGTTTGTTCTGTTTCCACATTAATTTTAAATCTACTCTAACTTTTGGAAGGATGTGGAAATTAGGAAATATTTTATTTTTTTGGTTATTAAATCTTCAAGGTATTTGTATTTTATTAGTACTTCAGAGTGTAAAATAGGTTTTCCCCCAATAGTTATGAGAGGTAAGATCATGTTTGTAAATAATAAATTAGCATTGTTTTTGGTAAATTTGCATTCAGTTATTTTTCAGGACAAGGCCATTGTCATATAAAGCAAGTATCTCAAATTCAAAGGTGCAAGATTTGTTTTTGAAGTTTGAGAGGAGTTTTTCTTGTCTTCCACCTTTCAATAAAATTGACAACCATAATCTTTTACATTTGTTTTGTAATTATTTCTTTACAAATAACATTCTAATATGTTCATTTTTTAAGTTGTTACTTTCTGTCTTGAGCAGAAGCCATGATGTCTTGAAAATCATTCCAGTCTGAAGATTTTTTTTCCCTCCTTAAAAACTAATCAAAATTTTATATATATCAACAGAGGGAAAGAATATTTAGTATTACCCGAAACCCTCCTAAACGAGGATACTGCAGTGGGACAGTCACTTCCATGTTTCTGTTGGACACCACAACTTCTGTCCCAAGAGAGGAGGAAAAAAGTACCATTCTTTTAAAAAAAAAGTATTTGTTAAAAAGTGACATAAGTTTTAGTTTTTCAGAGTGATAGAACAGCTCTTATTTAACCTTTCCCCAACTTGATACAGTTAATTTTATATTTAATAGAGTTCTATTTTATATGCATGGCTTTGTTGTTATGTGTCACCAAGTTACCTGTGATTCGTGATGACCCCATGTACATTAGCTCTGAAACCTGCCCTGTCCAGAGCCAATCTCATAGTTTCTCACAGACCTAATCCCATTTCTCCAGTTACTGAGTCAGTGCATCTCATCCTGGCTCTTCCTCTCCTGTGTTGTCCCTTTACCCTTCCAAGCATGATGTCCCAATCCCTTGTGTCCACATGCCCAAAGTATGTGAGACAGAGCCTCAAAATCCTTACCTTCAGGGAGCAGCATGGTTTCATCATTTCCAGTAAAAACCTGTTTGTTCTCTTGGCACAGTATGGTCAACATTCTTCTCCAGCACCACAATTCAAAATCATCGATCCTTTTACTATCATCCTTAGTTATTTTCTAGCTCTTGGATGTAGCAAGTAATTACAGAGACCATGGCCTGTTTCAGGAGCATCGTAGTCTCCAGACTGACATCATTGCTCTTCAGTAATTTAGCTGGGAACCACTGAATGGTTCAAGACCAGGAAAGGTGTGTGTCAGGGATGCATTCAAAACTGATTCGGGAGGCTGGACTTTATGAGGAGGAATGTGGTATCAGGATTGGAACGAAGACTCATCAACAACCTGTGTTACGCATATGACACAGTCTTGCTTGTTGAAATTGAGGAGGACATGAGGCATTTGCTGCAGAAGGTCTGTAATCTGAAGCTCAACATTAAGAAAACAAAGATTCTCAATTGGCAGCTTCATGACAGATGGAAAAGAGATTGAGATTGTTAAGAACTTCAGCTTGCTTGGTTCTACAATCAACACTCTTGGCACCAGCAGTCAGGAAATCAAAAGACGAACTGCATTGGGAAAGTCTGCTGTCAGGGACCTCTCCAGAGTACTGAAGAGCCACAGTGGCAGTCTGGCTTTTGTTAGTACATGTCAAATGAGATAATGAAGAAGATAACTTGGGAAAAGCTATACATTCCTTTAGGTTTTGTGACTTGACTTTTCTGTGACCTACTGCATAGTGCAGATGGCAATGATCATATTTTAGAATGTCAAACATGACACTAAGGGCAGAGACAGTTTTCCTTTAAAAGCTTACAGTTGCCATCTGGTATTTCTTTACTAGAAGAGCAAGAAAAGAAGAAAGCATTGTACTTGAGAGGTAGTTCTGTCTTCCAGCTCTTCCTGGACATTATACCCAATTGGGAATGTTAATTATCTGAAAACAGAATTTACTAACTGGAAATTAAAATATTAGGTACATGTTGGTTTCATTTTATAATCTGCTCATCAGGAGCTGTTAAAATGAGAATTCTGGAAAAAAAAAAATTTTGGACCCTTGTACTCATTTTTAAATTTGGAATTGACACCTGCACGTTTTAGAAATGTTAAATCTTAATGCTTTTCTATAAAATTCATTTTCTTGTTTTTGAGTTGGCTCTGACTCTGCAGTGAGTTTTTAGAGGCTATGAATCGCACAGGAGAAGACAGCCTGTCTTTGTTTCTCAGAGTGGCTGGTTAATGGGGGCAGCTCCCTGCTCACTCGAGCCTTTGTAGCACCTAACAACAGCAGCAGAACCAGAGTTCCTTACTGTTCTACATACATCTGAAGATGATGTAGTGTGCAGACAAGACACTTTAGTAAGCAATAATTAATAGCATGTTAAAAAAATTATTTGGATAGTGTATACCACCTTCTCCCAAATTTCTTCTTAAGCTTTGGTTTTAACTTGGCCAGATTTCATGTACAATTCTCAAATCTTTGAAAAACTGTTTTTTTGAG